TATATATATATATATATATATATATATATATATATATATGATGGACCCTACTGTCGATTTTGGCGTGTGAAGATCCGACAACCTCATTCAGTTTTTTATGTTTGTGTCGTATGTGACATTTCAGTCCCGTTAGTGACCTGCATAGAAGCCCACATATTGTGCAACGCCGAGGCTCTCGGGACTTAGCCACATAAATTTTCACTGTTGTCTTCCGTCTCTTAGCCACTCAGTACGACCAATTTCAAAATTGGCTCAGTAAAATAAAGAGGTGTTCAACTTTTATGGACATGCATGTGTCTCCCAAGGCCTGCACGTGTTTTGCAAACTTTTAGACAAATGGAACATGTGGTAGAGCCATTTTGCTTAAGTGTTTGATAACCAATTTACACATGTTTCCGCGAATGGACAGAAAGACATGTTTTACCGCTTTAATAAATATCTCAAATTATTAAATATATACAAATATTAAAGAATTCTGTTGTCAAAAGAAAGAGTTTCTAAATTGACCGCCAAAGTGGAAACATGGCAAGGCTGTCAATGTCTCGTCTATTGGCCAATCAGAGCACTCGTTACTTGCTAGTTACAACAATGTTGAGAAAGAGAACTCTAGATAGGCCATTTCCTTTATATTCTTAAAAGCAGCCGTTACAACATTATATATTCTTCTATGGGCACCTCGGCGTGGTGTAATGGTTAGTAAGCTTGTCTTGCTAGATCAGTTACAATTGAAAAGTGAGTTCGATCCTCACTAGATGCCCCATACTTTCGGCCTTGTGCCACATCTAAGCTATGCTTGGAAAATAACTGTATATTCTTCTAAGCGTTTTATTATTAGTTATTAATCTATTATCGCGTCTAATTTACAACTGAGACTATTATTATAGAAGTAGGAGAAAAATTAATATATTTAGGAATCTTGGAAACTTTCCACCCGTACATAAATAGGGACGTCAACATTCACCACTTTTTATACTGAAACTTTAAAAAGAATCAAATGAGTAGCGAGATATCCAGGACAATGTTTGACATTACGTCTCTTAGCTAAAGAATGTCGATTCTGTTGTTATTTTAATCGAGTGACGTGAATTGGATTCAAAATCTCATATTATATCGAGAGACGAAAGTTGGATTCAAAGTCTCGTATTGGTTGAACCAAACAAATAGACGTGAAATAATGCATTACTTTTCTTGAGGCTTCAAAACACTCGTATGGTTGAATACGATCAAATATACTCGGTCCTTTCATAAAAAAATTCCTTCTGTCTCTTTTTGGCTCACTGTCGCACTTTCTCTCTCACCCCTCTCTCTCTCTCTCGGTCTGTTTGTCTCTTTTTTTTTTTTTTTTTTTTAGTTAATGCTTTAACCAGGCTACCGTAAATCGATCGATCACATTTTAAGCTAAATTACTTGAGTCGCGTAGATATAATTCACTATGTCGGTCAAAAGAGTCAGACATATATCATCTTCCCACGAAAAAAAAAAATCAGTTAATTATATCTTTTGGAAGACATTTTCAGACAGGGCCGGTTTATGTCTTCGAGAATTACCTATTCGGCTGTTTTTACTTCCTTTCTTTTTCATTCTTTTTTCTTTACTTTTCTTTTTTAACCAGAAGATTCTATTCTTCTGCTCCATCTTGCTCCCCCCCCCGCAAAAAAAACATGTTTGCATTTCCCATCAACTTGTAGAATGGACAACTTCGTATTGACGGGTTCGACATCCTGCGTGCAAGGACTAATTTTCTTTCGACATATTTTCATTGATACGATTAGCAATAGTATTATTTTTCTTAGTATCATTAGTAGTAATGTTAGTAGTAGTATCATTGGTAGTAATGTTAGTAGTAGTAGCAATGCGTTAATGGTGGGATAAATGGTTATCATATAAATGTGTCGTCATTTTGAAAGTCAGAGAATTTCTTGTTTTTACTCTGAGTTTGGTTGCCATTAATGTTGTTGTTGTTGTTATCATCCCACTTCCTCCACCTTTGCCATCATATTATTTCCTGTTTTTTTGTTTTTTTTTCTTTCTTCATCTCTTCATATATCAAACTTTCGGAAATTTTTCATAGGAAAAAACATTTCAAGCCATATTTTTTGTTAAAAAAAAACAAAAACGAACAAATATTACCAGCAATGCATTTTCTGTAAAAAAAAAAAATTATCAGTAATGCATTTTTGTTAAAAAAAAAATAAAAATATTACAAGCAATACATTAAAAAATTACCAGAAATACATTTTTGTTGAAAAAATAAAAAATAAAAATATTACCTGCAATATATTTTTGTTTAAAAATAAAAATTACTAAAAATGCATTTTTGTAAATATTAATAAAGATTCAGTCCCTCTATTTTAAAGTTCTTTTTAAAATTGTCACCAGCATCTCATTTGAAATTACTTTTAGTGTTCTTTCTCATTTGTTCCACATCCAAGTCGCTTCATCGAGGAATCTACCGAAACGACAAATCACTTGTTGACAAAGTCAACGGAAACGGCAATTCATTTGCTGGAGGAATATACTGAAACTTCAAGTCTTTTGCTGGAGGAATTTACCGAAACATCTTCTCTTGCCGGCGGTGTTGACCGAAAAGTCAAGTCTTTTGCTTGAGGAATCTGCCAAGGACACATGGCACAGTGGATAAAGGCGTTGGTTAGATCCAGTGACAGGACCCAAAGTGTGTGAGTTCAATACGGCAGTGGAGAACTTAGAGAGGGGATTTAACAGGAGATAACTGATAACTGACATTCATTAGACATGGCACGTGGAACTAGAACAGTCTACCCCAGTGAGCGAAATAAAGGGTTCAGTTCGACATTCCAACCACCTGAAGAAGGCCGGAGCGTACAACGGCCGAAACGTTGTAATAATATGGTGACAAAGATGAGGACAATAGTCCGAATAATGTATATAGTGTAACTGGAAAAGGTTCGAACAGAATCATCGTAATCACAATTACAACTCATGTCTTACGAAGAGCTTTATTTATGTAAAATAGTCCGAATAATAAAAATAGTGTACATAATACCTGACCCCAGAAATATAGACAGATACTGAAGGGCCGAAACGTTGTAATAAATATGGCGACAAAGATGAGGACAATAGTCCGAATAATGTAAATAGTGTACATAATACCTCATCTCAGAAATATAGACAGATACTGAAAGGCCGAAACGTTGTAATAAATATGGCGACAAAGATGAAGACAATAGTCCGAATAATGTAAATAGTGTAAATAATACCTCATCTCAGAAATATAGACAGATACTGAAGGGCCGAAACGTTGTAATAAATATGGCGACAAAGATGAGGACAATAGTCCGAATAATGTAAATAGTGTACATAATACCTCATCTCAGAAATATAGACAGATACTGAAGGGCCGAAACGTTGTAATAAATATATGACAAAGATGAGGACAATAGTCCGAATAATGTAAATAGTGTACATAATACCTCATCTCAGAAATATAGACAGATAATGAAAGGCCGAAACGTTGTAATAAATATGGCGACAAAGATGAAGACAATAGTCCGAATAATGTAAATAATGTACATAATACCTCATCTCAGAAATATAGACAGATACTTTTTCCAATTAATACGAAGGATTCAACTACAACTGGAATTATTGATGTCCTCGTGTGCCACATTTTTGAAATTTCTACTTCAAGATCTTTGTATTTTGAAGGTTTATTGAAGATCTTTAAAGATAAATTACAATCAGCGATTCCTCACTTCGAAATCGAAAAATCTGACAAAGGCAATCTGTCTCCGTCAGAATTTTACGCCCACATGCAGTTTGCCATCCTGGCCCAGCCTAGGCATTTTGCAACAAGGCGTCGTAACCCTTTTCTGTCAAGGCTGTCCAGTTAGTTTTCCAATGGTGTTCAGCTGAATTCGACACCTCCTCTTCTTCTTTGTTTTTAATTTTCTTTTGCAATTTTTTACCTCTACTTTTGAAATTTGTTTGAATGTTTTACCTTTGATCTCATTTTCTTTGTAGAGTTTGTTTTTGTTTTTTAGTCGATTTCATCCCAAGCAAGGCAGTAAAGCCACTAAGACACAAGGGGTTACTGGGTGTGGAAAACAGAAACATTACTAAGGAGCGAGAATAGTAAAAAATTAATCAGGAGGACAGTAAATAGCGATTGACATTGCATTTAAATTTTTGCAGATTAAAGTTGGTTGAAAAGCATGGAGCCGGAAGGCAGTTTCACAAACGAGAATTGCGAAAAAAAAATTTGTTAGCATATATATACAGCGTTATATCTTGCCAGCTGGACTGTAAATTGATGAAACCTCGACACAAGTCTAGGACGGCTTTTAAATTCATAAAGTTTAGGTACTCCAGCGAAGAGTTCATGCGAACAATTACTATGAAAGTATTTATAGAAACGGTAACTTAACGGCGTCTGAAGACAAAACGCCAGTTCAGGACCAATAATATTGCTGGTTATTTGGATTTTAACAAGGAGCTCAAGACAAATAGCAGGGGCACCGGACCATATGTGACAACGATATTCGAAACATGGACGAACGGTAGACTTATAGATATATAAGATAGATTCTGGAGAGAAGGATTTTCTAGCACAATAAAGTAAATCAACTTTCTTAGAATATGACCTAGCAATGCATTTTCAATATAGACATGTCAACCTTAGAATGTTAACCAGAGAAGGCGCAACGAGTCACTATAATTATTATTATTATTATTATTATTAATAATATTTATTGTTGTTGTTGTCACGAATGCTACTGCAATTGGAAGGAAAGATTGTCGGCTGTTTCGTAAAACAATATGGAAAAGCATTTTTTTATTTTAATTCATTTTTTTTCTCCACAAGAGAATATCTGCGTAAAACTAGAGCTAATCACTTGCCATGGATGTTATTAATTAATTAAGACGTTAATTAGTGAAGCAGTTGCTTTCAGACGAAATGTAGTAATGGTGGTGATTGCAGAAGTTAGAGTGGTAATTGATATTGTACAAATCATTATTAGTATCAAGTCTTCATCGCGAGGTTTCTATTGCTTCTTTTAACCACCACCCCCGCCCCTGCCATCCCTTCTTCTTCTCTATAACATCCCCTTCTTCATCTGATTCTTCTCTTTTTCTTCTTCTTCTCTTCTTCTTCCTTCTTCTTCTTCAAGTCCTCGATTCTTCTCTTTTTTCTTCTTCTTCTTCTTCTTCTTCTTCTTCTTCTTCTTCTTCTTCGTCTCTTTCCTCCCTTTTCTTCTTCTTCTTTGTCTTCTTCTTCGACTCTTCCCCTTTTCTTCATTCCCTCTTACACTCTTCTTCCCCTTCTTCTTCTTCTTCTTCTTCTGTTTTCCCCTTTTCTTCACCTCCCCTTACACTCTTCTTGTTCTTGTCCTTGCCTGCTCCCTGGCTTCTTCTGACCCTCCTCCTCTTTTTCTCCCCACTTCTCCTCCACTTTTTGTCTATTACTTTTTATTGATACTTACAATTAATTAGATTAGCACGACTGAAAACGAAGCTTTGTGTTGCACAAGTTTTGCAAGTCGTGCCTGTTTGGAAAATCAGAATTTGAAGTTATGGCTTTTACCAAGACTCGAACCCGAACGTTCAGCGCAAGTGGGAAATATGAACATCACTGAGAAGCGAGGAAACGAATGGAGAAAAACTATAGCATTATTGTCGCACCATTTTGTTAATAGTACTAGAAATATGTAACAGGAGAGGTTGTACTTTAATAATAGTACTAGTAGTAGGAGTAATTGTTTTTGTTGCTGATTTATTTTTACGGCTTATCAACCTTTTGTGGGGTATTTAAAACTGAAACACATTTTGGATTGTAAGAATAACTTTTTTTGTGAGTGAATATTACATTAATAGTTTTTTGAGAATAACAATGAATTTTCCAGATATAAGTGCTAATATTTAACCCATAATTAAGGGGAGATGTATTCATACCATTGCTGGAGGTATTTGTGAGTAAATTAATGAAAAGAATCCGACGGGTATTTGAACTTGGCTCTCAAATTTCTCGTTCCAAGCCTTTATCTATAGTAATTGTAGTAGAAGTAGAAGTAGTGATTAGGATGTAAAGTTTGCCTTAATATATAAAGTACTAATAGTAACAGATAAAAGAAAGGCGAGAAGGACAGAGATTGCATTGTAATAGTGTTAATGATAATGATGATAGTGTTAATGATAATAATGATAGTGTAACGTGAGCCAGTTTGATATTATTAATAAGAACCGGAGTAAGAAAAAGATGGAAAGGACAGAGACTACATAAGCGAAGCAGCAGCAGCGGCAGCAGCGGTGGTGGCGACGGCGACGGCGGCAGCAGCAGCGGCGGCGGCGGCGGCATAATGAATGATAGTGATGCAAATTGTGTAAAGCCTACAATTTTAATACTATTAATAGGAGTATAAATATTAGTAGATGAAGATGATAAGGCGTGGCATTTGTCAAAATTAAAGTAATCGCGCTTAGTCATAATTAACTTTCTTATTTCTCTGTGCTTTTTCCAAAGAAATTTTCTGACTTGTTCTAAAATTAATGACTTTTCGATCCTGTTACTGGGGTGGAGGGGGGTGCGCTACTATTACAACTATTACTACTACTATTAACGAAATACCCAATCCAGGCCAGAAGACAAAATTTTAACTCTCAAAAAAGGGACAGTTGGAATTTTTCGAGCATATAATGAGGAAAGATGGTTTGGAAAATTTGAAACTCACAGGACATATCGAAGACAAGGGGTGGGGGTGCATAGGAAAGCAACGCATAACCCGTACCTAAGGAGCTTGCTTGGTAGAACAGGGATTAGGAGACATAGCAAAAAGAAAAACTTTACTCGGAGCTAGAAAGGATAGGCAATTGTGGAGAGCCATGATCGCCAACGTTCTGAAGAGATACGACATAGAAAAGATAGGGAATGTCGCTGTTCAGGCGGATCAGAGTGTAGATCTAAAAAAAAGGGGGGGGACAAGAGATAAATATGTTCATCTTGCCAGAGAATTGAGGAAGTTATGTCTCAGGAAATTGACAATGGTACCAGGGCCATCGGAGCACATGGAACGGTCCTGGAGAGCCTGGGGGGAAAGCTTGGAGGAACTGGAAATTATGGAAAAAGAAACCAACCAGAACACTGAGGAGAGTTCTTCTAGTCTTGAAGAGACTTGCTATTTCTTAATCCTCTTTGAAGGCAAACACTTTACTAATCTGCTATGAACACTCAATAATTATTATTATTGTTTTTATAGTCATTATACAACGACTACGACTAAGTCACTTTTATGATTTCTTCTTCTTGTTGATATCGTCTAAGTCAAGCAGTTACAGGGCCCAAATTTTGTAATGTTCTCTTCAAACGACTCTGCAATCTTTACGAAGGCAGACATATTCGAGCAACCTGTGCATTTGTGAAACTTGATAAAGAAATTGTTCCTTCCGTTATAGTTCGGACCTGCGTCTCACTAGTGTTTTTAGGCCGCTCATCTCATAGACTCAAGCAGAGTAGAATTGCCTTATTTAAGAAATCCATGCCTCTTGTTCACAAAGCACATCACCTCTCGAATAGCCGAGCCAGTAGACGTAAATTTACATAGTTTAAGTAACAAGGATGTCTATTCAAACACGAGTAACCTTTAAAAGGTTAAAGTCATAAGAAATAACGTCGGGTTATAGATAAAATTTTTAAATCCTGGTATTATTATATATATATATATATATATATATATATATATATATATATATATATATATATATATATATATATATATAATATATATATATATATATATATATATATATATATATATGAAGAAATGTAGTTTTAGGGTGTTCTATATTTATGGGATAAAGTGCTCAATATCAGAGATTGAGCGTATATAAATATAAAAGTGAACATTTAAATCAACACTCAGAGGCGACAGGCTGTTTCATGCTAGACGCAATCGTCAGGCCTGCCCATATATATATATATATATATATATATATATATATATATATATATATATATATATATATATATATAATCATAGGTCGTCTTTTAAGCTAGAAAATCTTTAGTTACTATACCAAACTAGTAACTATGTGTAGAATTTAAAAGAATAAAACAACAGGTATCCGTTGGTAAGGTGGGAAATTAAAAAAAATATCAAAATCATACAACAACTACAACTATATTTGCAACCACTACCAACAGCAAAAATTAGTGATTATAACATTTCTGGATCCCAAAAACCTTTTAAACCAGAAATCCGAAGTCTTAAGCCCTTGCTTACATATCAGAAAATTTTTCTTTGATATAATTTCAAGTATTTTAAAATCCACAAAGAAAATTTGCACAGCATCATTCTCATTGTCTTTTACCTATCTTCAGTTGTTATTTTCTAGGAGCCAATTAACTGAACTCGGGAGAAATAAATAGCGTGAAACTGGCACATGAGAAATCGCAACTCATGTTTAAATATTCGTTTAATTTCCTCTATTTGATATCTTTATTTTATTTATTAAATTTCTTTTACTCATTACATTTCTTTTATTTGATATGTTTCTATTTTCTGAATTACTGCCGCCGATTCTTCCAAATCCGACGCCTAGGTTTTGTTGCTCTACCACTGAGCCACAATCATATATGTGTGTCCAAAAGAGAAAACTTTCGACTGCTTTATCTATTTTTGATTAGTTGATGTTTTTCTGTGATTGTCATGTGTTCGCTGAATGGAATTATCCACGATACCGAATTAGGAAAATCCCCCCATTGGCCTGAAGTGTAATTTTTCCGCGAGGCAGTCAATATCTCATCTGACCCCCTCTTCTTTCTCTTCTGTTCGTTTCATTGATGCACACCTGATGACAAAAGGTCGAGTTCAAGACCTATCTCTGGGGGCTTCGCAGTCAGATGAACTGGATGATTAACTCCAAGTTCTTGCCAAAAACAATAATCACATTAAAAAAAAAAATCGACCGGACTGAGATTCATAGATCAACTCTGATCTCGGCTCAAGAGATTCAACATTAAGTCTAGAGGCGACAGAAATACATTTTGAACGAAATAGGATAATGAAATCGAGAAGAGTTACTAACTTTGGTGCTTTCAAGGCCATGTCGTCTCAAAATATCGATCACCAGTGACGATCCTGATACATGATCCTCAAAGGAGAGCCTGACATTCAAACCGGTTTCACGTTCCATTGCTAACTTAGGGTATATGATTCTCACTAGGTGTCTTACTGATGCGGCCATGTGTTTGGCTAGCGCAATGACGGGTTGTGAGTTATCTTTGTGTTGTGATGGTTTATCGTCAGTTCCTCAGTAAGGAAATCAATACTTCAACAACAGATTGAATCAACGACAGAGTTTTCCTCGTGGCTCTTTCTTCTAGCTTTATTATATTTCTGTCTTTTGGGAGGAAGCGAAAGAAAGAGAAGAGAAAATTGGATGTTAGCGAGCGACTTATAGCAAACGCACGTCAACACAGACGCAAAAGAGCCCTCAAATCATATGTGGACATGTTTGTCAACACCAACTACATTTTCTCGTTAGCAGCATTACAGCTTGGTATGTCTAGATACGGTCCTCTTTGTAACTGGTCAAGATCTGGATCTTCGTCAGATGCCTCATGCCAATAAAAGGAGGAAAACCAGCTGTCAGATGGACACGGTATCTTGTGAAGTCAGTTCTGCATTTTGTTCCTAAAGTTGCTGTGCTTTCCGACGTAGTGTTATTTTTGTTACCTTCCGTATCTCCCCCACCTCTCTGCCGATTAGCCCTGTAGTAGTTAAGAGAGAAGTCGGTTAAGTGTTTCCCTAAAACTCAACACACTCTTTGGTTGCATTACAACACGACTATCTTCTCCCTGTGTGTAACGTGTCTCCCTGCTGAACTCAAGGGCATACAAAATAATCTGGGTATAATAGTCAAGGAAGAACATCAGAGAGAGTCTGGACTGTAGCAAGCATACTGCCTGCCCATTTCAGGGGATATGACTAGTTCTAAAGTCAGAGAAAAAATGTGTTTAAAGGCAATATTCAATATCTGTCTATATTTGAGAGGAGGTATTGTAATTATTTCCGTTGTCCTCAAAGGGGAAACATGGTCCAGTGGATAACAGCGTTTGTTGGATCAAGTGACCTGACCCAAAGAGTTGTGAGTTCAATACCTGGCTACTGCAGTGGTGAACAAAAATTGTAGAGTTTAGTCAAATAACTGAGACATTCCGAACGAGAACAATCTACCCCGGTGGACGAAATAAAGGATTCTGTTCGAAATTCCATTAACCTGAAGAAGACCGGAGCGTATAACCTTCGAAACGTCCCGAATATCGCAATAAGGATGAAGAAAAGAGTCAATGTAAATAATGTAACTAGACACTATTCAAGTTGATTTGGTCGTCGATGTAAAAGCGTAGCCGAGACATGCAAAGCACGTCATATATATATATATATATATATATATATATATATATATATATATATATAT